AGGAAATTTCTTTATTTTTAGATACTGTGTTAGACACATTTCCCAACCAGCTGACAGAATCAGAAGAATATCTGTCTCTAGTAGACACAGGATTTTTCATCAATACAAGTATCATGCCACTTTTAAGACCAGAGAGAAAGGTGGATGTCATCCTGCATTTAAATTACAGTGCAGGATCACAGATACAGGTGAGAGAAATTGAAGTAGTCTGTATTTCTTCCCTAAAAGCCGTATGCCTGGAAGCTTTTAACGCTTAGGTGCTTGCTTAGGTATTACTTCTACTAAAAGTCTTAACCAGTGGCATTTTTAGCTTAAGACTGCAGTGTAGTTCTTCATTTATAGACTGTACATATATTCATTTATTTTTCTTGTATGATGAGAGTGTTTTGTGCTAAGAACCCAGGGAAAGCAAATACCTTCTGTCCGCTGCTGCAATGCTTTCCAGCAGGGGCTGCAGAGCTAGCCTGAGAAAATTTCTCATTTGTTACTGAACTGTAAGAAGTCCTGGGACCAGCTTCTTCTTTAAATCTTAGTATTGCTGTTTGTTGATCCAGGCTCTGGACCAGACCTGCAAGTACTGCTCAGATCAAGGAATCCTATTTCCCAAGGTGGAGTTGAGTGAAGAAGACAGGAAAAAGCTAAAGGAATGTTACCTCTTTGAAGGGGCTGAGACTCCAGGAGCTCCAATATTGCTATTTTTCCCACTAATTAATGATACCTTCCAAAACTACAAAGCACCAGGTAAGCAGTCAAGCACGAAAGAAAAGGATGCCAGCATGGCCAGCCTATTAAAGGAATACATTTAATTTTCCAACTCCTAAGCTTCACTGTTGGCTAATTTCAATACATCAAACCTCTCTGTTGCTTAAGATTACCTTGTTAAAATTTTTCCAGCAAAAGAGATTACACTTGTAATCCTTTATCTTTTCCCATCCAGTTATCTTATAGTTAAAGTAAGTTCTTGTATATAAAATAAGTAAAATCGGCAAGTATTTTACTGGACTGCACACTGTAATAACCTTCCCTTTTTCTTTAGTAGACCATTTTGTTTCAAAGCTGGCCTTTAGTACTGGTTTGAAACAGACAGAACCATTCCAATATGCCTTTGAGGCATGGTAGCTTCTTTCTATTATAAATTGATCTCCTCGCTGTCAGGACTCACTTTTCCTCTCTATAAGTAGGATGTCCTTTCCGTTTGATGGCTCAGTGTTTCGCCTGCTTTAACACATTCTGGGGCTGCCACTGTCTTTTGACTTCCATTTTCTCTCTTCTAATCCTTTAATTTGCAATAACTATCTTTCTAACTTGAGTCACATATATGTGAAGTCCTCCCAGCCTGTCCTGAGCTGACACTCAGCATATATCTGCTCTGCAGTATTAGGGTGTGATTGCAGCTCATCATGGAGCTGGTGTGAACAGCTTTGACCTACCATCTTCAGCAAGTGCCAGCCTCACTACTGTACCAAGATGGCACCAAGCCTGGGCTCAACTGCTTGGGTACTTACTCAAGTCTCCAAGTCAGATCTGCTGCCATGGCCATACTATCTCAATCCCCAGATTTGTTGCTTTACAGGTGACTTTAGTGTATCTATATGTGCTACAGGAACACCTGAAAACTGCAATGCAGACCCATATAAGAGTCTAATCACTGTTCTTGTCCCCTAGTCATGTGAAGCAGTTGATACCCATGTGAGCTAGGGATTGAGTTGTTGGTTTGAAAAAGAAATATTTGTTTAAAAATAATTTTAAAAAAACCCCAAAAGACTAAAGTGGATTATGGACTCTCTCTGTAGAGGGACATCTCCTTTCTCTGCTCTATTAGAGTTTCCTTGCCTGTAACCAGAGTAATTCCCATCCCACAACCGTGATTTGTTACACATTTCTCCTAGGTCAGAAGCGCTCTGAGTCAGAGATGGAGGATGGCAAAGTTGATCTCTATGGCCGCTGTTCCCCTTATTCAACATACTCAGTCAAATATACTGAGAAGGTGTACGATCGTCTGGTTCAGCTGGGAGAATACAACATCCTGAATAATGCAGACCTCATTATGCAGGCCTTGCGCACAGCAGTGGTACAGAAAAGGCAGAAAAAGAAATAAATCACCATCCTCCTCCTCAGACAAGGGAGGATGCTGTTGTGCCCCTTAACCCACTGAGAGACTGACAGTACCTTAAGATGGTACTGATCCCTGTTCAACCCCATGAAGTAACGATCTCTGATGAACAAAGAAGAGGTTGAAGAGAACCCTTTTTTTCCCAAAGAATTTCACTGCAACAATTCGTTGCAATTCAGCCAGGATAATGGAGTACAATTCATTGTATGGTACAGAGATGGGATGGCTGTGAGGATGAAGGTGCTAGCTACCCTCAGAAGGTGTTGGAAATGTTTAAGTCTAATGTGTCCAGGGCAGACCACATTAAAAGAACATTTTATTAATATAACTTGTGTTTTGTGTTTGTGAGATGGTGGCGCAGCAAGCAGCAAGCAGTGGGCCAGGGCTGTGACCTGTGGCACGGCACACTGTAGGCAAGTGTTTAGAGAAAGAGAGGCACATGTCATACGGGACCCTGAGGACACGGCTCACCGCAGAGGGGTGGCTTTGGCCAGAGGGGGAGGAGGTGCAGGCCCTGGGTACCAGGTTGACAGAGACAGCAAGACAGCGTTGATGAGGGGCTCCACTTCTTGACCATCACGCTCCTCTGTGCACCTGCCTCCCTGCTTCTTGGCTCCCTGTCCTCTTCTTTCTCCTGGCATGAGAGGTGGTAGCTCAGTGAGTACAAAACCAAGCTGAACAGCATGACACTGTACTGGCACTGATCCCCTCAGAAACAGAGCAAGGATGTGCAGGCCCCTGCATTCCTCGGCCCTACCTGCCCTTGCTATTGGCTTTGCAAAGGCTTTGCATGATCTTGGTGAGAGAAGGAAGATTTTGCATGTTGCAATAAGGCAAATAAAGAGGACAGCCTGCTCCAGAAATGTCATTTTTTCTTCTTGAGATAGATAGCAAAAAATTATTTTACCTGTGCTGCTGCTGTGAGCCTTGTGCCAGCTGTGGCTGATGAGGAGACAAGGAGGGTGCAGACCCGCAGAGAACCCTGATAGCTCTGGGAAGCTTTGCTATAGCAGGTACATCCTTGTGCATGGCAAGTTGCAGCAAGAGGGTCTGCGCCTACTGAGCTGTAATTCCTCTTGGGCTGGCTCTGCACCAAACCCAGCACCAAAACAAACATATTATGAATTGCCAGTGACTTTTCAACTAGGCTAATTTTGAATACAGAAACATACTAGGGAAAAAGTCTGTAATGTGTTTAATAGCTTTCTATTCATAAGTTAACCATTCATAATGTGTGTTTTCTCTTTTGTCCCCCTTTTGCAAAGGTGTGTTGAGTTTCTCACCGTGTGCAACAACACTGCAGCTACAATTTGTAGCCTACAATTTGTGGCCTACTAAAAACTCCTGTGGTTATATTTCAGTATTAAAATTCTTTGGATTGCAGAAGGGCTGTCAGCTTCTGGCCATATTTCAAGGCTGATCTTCAGAATTTTATCTTTACTTTCCAAATGAGTAGATAACAGCACCTCCAGCGTGTTAGGCTGAGTCATGTCACTCTGAAGCTTTAAATAGCATCATCAGAGCCTGGTAGAGGGAGCAGGCCATAGTGTTTCTCTAGGACACGACAGCCAAGGACAAGCGTTCTGTGTAACTCCTCATTTTAAAACACAGGGTAGAAGGATGGTCAGTGATGCAACAGAGAGTTTAGCTCGCATTGCACCAGGAAGAATGTCTGTGAAATACCTGCCTTGTTCCCAAATATTTTACTCAAAAAAAAAAGTAGCGAGAGAGAGCCTCAATGGGCTTGGGAAACCTGCCCCAGAATGGAAAGGGTGACTGCACAAGTCAAAGATGGTGAAAAACGGGGCCTGTGTCCTCACACAGGAAAAAGGTATTATGAATTATCACATGGGAAGATCTCTTCCCTCATCACCCCTAACTCAGAAGGTGCTACTGCCTCTCAGAGAATAAAAGAACTCCTTATTGTCAGAGATATCTTGTTTACGTCAGAGAAATGAACTCATTGTTTCTGGGTCCTACTCATTTGGAACACCGCAGGAGCCAGGAACATCAGGACCTTTGTAACCCCCTGGCCTCGGGTTTATTTAAACCTCTTCTTTGTGACTATAGAGTTATGTTTCTAAAAATCATAAGTGATTTCTAGGCTGAAATTCCTTTTGGTAGGTAGGGATTCTTCCTGCATTCACTATTAGAAGAAGCAGTTTCTTGTTGTAAACAGAGCTTGTGCTCAGAATCGTGGCTATGAAGCATTTTTGCTAAAATTCAGATGCATCTAATGCATTTACAGACTAAACAATGTAGTTTGTTACTCTTGGGAAAATGTTTAATTAAGCTAAAACATGATATGAGCAAATGGAAGAATTTGCTGCTTATCCTTTGGATGTGAGGTACAGAGAGTTCCCACTGGCAGGCACTGAGATAACCTTTTCCCGTAAGGAAAGTCTCGGCCTGTAGTCAAGCTTTTATTTTGGTATTGCCAAAAAGTTACAGCATTAATAGTATGGTTTGTACTGGTGGGTTACGGACAGGTTCTAGTTCTCAGCTCTTCTTCAGTTCGCATTTATCCCTCTGGAATGAAATTCTGAGAGTTAGTCTACCTGTAGTCAGTCTGGATTGATTTCCTCATGACCAGTTCACTTTCTTTGCAAAGCCAATGTGAACCTCTGAAGAGATGGTTCTTATGGCTACAAAAAGGTTAGATACAATTTCCTTCCAGAATATCACTAGCGCTTCAAGCTTCAGCTTTTCACGTATAGGGGGGACCTGGGGTATCTCCTATGTGATTTTTGCACTTGACCTTTCTTTGGGGATGAAGATGTTGTTCCCAAAATTTATAGTCTCTTATAAGTGACTATACTCATTTATAAAATGTCTCTTTTTAGGCTGAGATGTTGTAAAATGTTATATTTACAGTGGCCACTCATCAAAACCTCTGGTTTCTGATGTCAGCAGCTTGAATCTTCCAAAGGCATCGCTTGAGTGCTGTTGGGCAAGAGCTCTGTCAGAGGGCATTTTATTACCCTTCAGCCCTTCACAATTCGTCTTTGTGTGGCACAGGTAAGTACGTGAACCGGTCTGCCTTGTATGCGGTAACCTTGTGTAAGACTTTGGGCCTTTTAGGCAAGGCTCAGTCAAGATAAATTCCAGATTCAACAAGCCTGGAGGAGGTGTCTCACACCTCTGCAACCTGAAACCAAAACAGCAGTTACAGCAGGAAGCAGTAGTTGGCTGCAGTATGTAGGACTGGAAGGCCTTAGAAGAGGTGGGAAAGATCATGAAGTGCTGGAGGCTAAAGCCAAGCCTGGAGGGAGAGTTAGGTTGTTTGGATTCCTTTGTCTTTGCAATCCTTGTTTCCAAGTACACAGTAATAAACTTTTAGCTAAAGGTTTAGGGACAGTTTTTCTGGGCATGGTTTTGCCACAGTTGCTTGCTGAATGGGCTTATCAGCTCGCATTTATCTAATCAATCCATTTCATAACACTATACAGAGCCCTTGAATTGTTTAGCTCCTACTAGCTGGTCTGCAGATTGAAGAAAATGGTAAAACAGTGAATGCAATTTTGCATTTGTACTAGATTATTCATCTTGTTTCTCCCCAGAAACTCATAAAAGCTGGAAGTACAATTAGATCACCGTTTTTTACTTGTTAGATGCCACTGCTGTTACCAGTCATGCAGCTACTTAAATGTTAATCTTGATCACCTGTGGCTGACCAAAGTTTATCTCGAAGAAAAGTGACCTCTCTTCTTTCAAAGATATCAAGAATGGTAAAGTCACCACATTTCATGGAAATATCTCTTAATGCGTGATCTTCTTCCAGCAAAAAGTGTACACCTTTTTTCACATTGCATTTAGTTTGGTTTCGAGGTCCAGACATTAGTTACTATTACATCTCTTTCTAGCAGCTTAAAAGCCATTGCATAAATGCTGTATTTCCCTTATGATCAATTTTATAAAATATAAAAAAGTTATGTCACGGTCTTTTTTTGCCAAACCAGTAGATTAGGCTCTTCAAGTTCTCACTGTAAAAATTTTCTTTAATTGCTTGATCCAAATTTAGCCCTCTTCTTCCGCTCCCTCCAACTCTTCATTGTCCCTTTATCAAATGCAGATTCCAAAATCCTCCTCACTAATGCCATATTTATAAAGAGGTGAAAATTGCTTTGTTATTTTTATACGCTTCTATATAAATAACTTCCCTGTTTATATATACAGGAATTTAGTTGTCTTCATTTGCCATTAGAGATGTCTGCAGAGCTGTTTGTCTGGTATAAGCTGGTAAGTTACTGTTTTCCACGTTACAGTCCTCGCTTTTGTGAGGGGGAGTAAACTGTGACATACATTTGTCATTCCTTTAGTCATGACTTCACACTTCAGTGCATTAAAATTAATTGTGACTAATCAGGTCTAGTTTATCAAGCAGGTCAGACCGTTCTGTATGATTGTTCTGTTCTGTCCTCAGTATTACTCCGTACTCTCAGCCTTCCTCTATTGCAAATTTTAACTGTTGTTATGTCATGCTTCTTTTCAAATCATTCATAGAAGTGAGCAATAGAAAGTAAATGCTTAAAACTTTCTCACGAAAAACTTTTTTCAGTGATATTTCTCACTAAGGACTAATTTTAAAATCAGGTACCTAGCAAATTCTTAACCTTTTAAATATATACTTTTTTGAATCTTGGATAGAATGCCAATGCCTAACAAAGATGTACTATCTTTGTTCAGTAGCCTAATTGGAGCACAGAATGAAATCAGTTTTTCAGGTTAAAAAACTATTTTCCATAAGAATATATTGACTGACTTACAGCTCTTCCAGGATGTAGCTCAGGGAATCACCAAAGCTGCTCATCATCTTAGAGGGAACCGCTGGCTATTGCTAATCTCTGAAAGATTTCTCTTCCACGCACTTGCCTTGCATCACCAGCTTACTAGCTCATGCAGCTTCCTGAGGGAGCGCTCACTCATTTTTTGGAGATCCTTTAGAGTTTTATTGCACTCCGATCGCTCAAAGAGAGCTCCATACC